GCAGATGAGTTTCATTTCTCTAAGACTGCAATCCGACTCTCCTCTGATTAAACAGTTAGCCAGAGGCAAGGGTACAAGGAATCTCTCTGACTCATGCCTGGCTTCTTTGTGGTGTCTGGGTGGCACAGCGCAAGCTGCTGGCATAGAACTCAGTAAGTGCATGTGGCCTGATCTGGCTAACTCCTCAAGTTCCCTCTGCGGCAGAGATCGGGCTTCATTTTCTGTCATGGTACCTGTGGTCATTTCTCTCAATGGTATCTACGATCTTAAAACAACATGTATACAGATGCTAAAGTGTGTATGAGGGGGAAAGGGAGGTCTGGTGTTCATTGAGATGGTATGGCTTATTGCTGAATGTATGTCTCTGGTAGACATGAGCCAAAGTGCAAGGTGGCTTTTCCCAAGTTGGGCTATATTCTCTATGAGTTGCTATAAGAGAAAGAGGACCATCTGTGGCTGGGCACTCTCCTGTGTGACCTTGAACAGGTTGTTCTAGCTTCTCTGGCTTATCATCTGAGGACTGTTACAGGGGAAAATGAGATAATGACTGCATAGGAGGCAAGTCCAGGACCTGGAACATGGAAAGAGTTCACCAAATATCAGCTTCTGTTGCATGTGAGCATCCCCTGCCTTCCAAGCCTACAGTGCTCTGAAATCCGAAAACAACATCAGGTCTGTTCATGTCACAACTGCGGATGCTCAAAATTCCATCATCACTTCTGGTCCCAAGCATTATGAACAGGAAATGTTCACATTGTAGTGCTTGGCTGTTCTAAGCCTTGATTAAGTGGTAAAGTTAATAAACCCAGGGAATGGAAGCTATGTGCTCCTGGGAAAGAGAATCCTTAGTGGTCCTCTCCTTGAGTGGTTATTGGCCTCTAACGACTCCTTCTGAAAAATCCTGTAGGATGCAGAAGGCAAACCAGAGGCCTTGCAGGATCCTCATGGCCAAGCCCATCCTGCTTCATGTCATGGTGCAGCTAGCAGAGAGTCTAACCCTGATAAATGATAACTGTTCGTTATAGTTATTTCAGTTTTTTTCCTTTGAATGCATTTGTAGACTTAAGAAAAGTGAGTTCCAGGGTTGTGGGGGTTTATGACCCAACTTTTTAGTTCTTTCAAGGTCAGTATTTCAAAAGTGTATCAGTTAGATATGACCACAGTCATACTGTGTAACAAATTACCCCAAACTCAGTGAATGAAAACAGCAGGCCTGTATTTTCTCCATACTTTCTGTTGGTTGGAGATCCATTGATCTAGGTTAGGCTTAGTCTAAGCTTCACGTTGATTCCTTTTCTCTCCACATGGTTCTCTGCTTCCTTGCACCAGTTGGCCACCTGAGCCGTACTCTCCTTGAGATGACAAAACCACAGAAGTTCACATTCAAGCATATCTTGTACTTCTGTGTATGTCGTGTTCTGATAAACTTCCAGTGTGTCAAGTGAAGTGACCATGGCCAAGCTGAAGAGGTAGGGAAGCATGCTGCAATGCACCCCAAAGTCCCACAACCACAGAGTGTGACTCCAGGGAGCAGTAAGGAATGAGGGTCACTAATTCACTCTCCCCCATGTCCCAGTTGCCCTCTCCAACTTCTCACTGCAGTAGGTTCCATAAGGGCTTCCCTTAGCATAGGAGGTTCTGTGGTCCTGACATCCTCATTACAATTCCAGAAGCACTCCACTGGATCCAGCAAGCACGTTGCAAATTCCCCTTTGGTCTCCTGAAGCCTTCTCTTTGACAGACAGGAATTTACTCTACTGTAAACCTAAGAGTCCCAATTTAGACAGACACGATGGATTAGGCAGACGGCATCATTGACCCAGTTCCACTTCGTTAGCCTTTCCAATTAAGGAGGTTGTTACTGTGAGTGAGACCTCACAGATATGCAGTCATACCTTGAGTCCTCAGGACCAAGCTGCTTAGGGAGAGTCTCACATTTCCAGTGTGCATCCAGGGGAGGAGAAGGAAGTGTGGTTGGCATGAGAACAGCAGTGTGTTAATGACACAGGCCCCTTGTGAGTGCTTCATCCTCTTCCTGGCCAGTTAATTAAGATGCTAAATAAGGACCCTTTGTGCTCCCTCTCCCAGAAGCTTTTGAAATAAACCTTGGACTCCTGACTGTGTGTGACAGGGTCTGTGATTTTGGAACTTCAGATAAAGAGTAGATGCTGTGCTGTGTCAAGGGACCAGTCACTTGGTATCATCCACATAGTTGGCAGAGATTTTCCTTGGCTTTCCAAGGAAGGTCTTTCCCAGTGAAGTTGTTCTTAGGGGTTCAGGATGGCATTCCCCCTTTCTTCGCTGTCTTGGGATTCTGAGCAACGAAGCATAAGCCCCACGCAATAGCCAAATGGGCCGTGAAGCACAACTTAATTAATCTGGGCATTCACCCAATGCCCCGTGCAGCACTAGCTAGAATTTGGCTTTGGAGAAGGTGGCTAATTTTGAGACTGAGCAATGGCTCCTTCGCTCCTGACTCAAATCTCAATGAATATAGGCAGAGGAACAGTTAGAACAGATAAGCAGGCTCAGGCTCAGGTCAAACAGAGTCTGCTACACAGGGTCTGCTGCTCCCGGGGTCTGCTGCTCCCTGGGTCTGCTGCCAGACACAGATGGGGAGGATGGATCTGTCTCTGGAAGAGTAAGCTGGGTCCTGCCCTGTATGACTGCTCCACAGGGAGCCAGGCTCAGCTCTCCAGTATTGCATATCATTGATCATACAAATACTAAGGCTAGAGGGACCTCTGTAAGGTTAGGTGGAATAGTGAGGCTGGGTCCTGCACCCTAAGTAGCTCAGTACACATTGAGTACTGGTGGGTCATAGCTGAATGCTATTCTGGGAAAAGGGCAGGAGAGGCTGTGGTGGGAAGCCTGAGCTGTTTCTCCAAGGCTCCCCATTGGTTCCTTGTGGGTCAGCTTAGCAATGTGGTAGCGTGAAGGAAAAGCTTCCCTTAGAGTTTTCCTGGGTGCAAAGACTAGCTGGGCGCCGCTGGTATGAAAACTAGCAGGAGTGAGGTGTCTCCTTGGCAACAACCCTGAGCTGTGCCAGGGAAGTGCTGGAACTTGGACTCAAAACCCAGAATTGGGGGAAGACGAATTCTTCACCTTCACAGAAAGTCCAGAGGTCAAAATGTGCCTGAGACTATGCCTCAAATGTGCCACGAGGAAGATAATTGCCAAAGAGGAATCAAGAAAGCAAGTGGGGTGGTCTGGTAGTGTGTTCCTGTAATCCCAGTAAAATAATGGTCATAGGTTTGAGTTGAGCCTGTGCTACATGGCAAGTATCAGGCCAGCTTGGGCTACGCAGAAAGACCTTATCTCAGAAAATATTAAAACAATATAAGACATGTTTAAAGGAAGCAAGTGGAATCAGACCTGATGATGAAAGCCTGTGAGCCTAGCAATTTAGGAAACTGAGGCAAGAGGAATACAAGTTCAAGACCAGCCTGGGATACAGTGAGTACCAGAAAGCCAGCCCAAGCAATTTACTGAGATCCTACCTCAAAATACAAAGAGAGGGGTGGTAGCACATATGAGGCCCTATGTTTAATCCTATTTCTCTCCTCTCTCTCTCTCTCTCTCTCTCTGTCTCAGAAAACAAACGGTCCTTCCTCTCCAACAGTTTAGAATGTTACAGTTTTTCTACAGTTTTTCTTTACTCTCCCTTTATTCATAGTACTTAAAGAAGGGTACCCTGGTGCTAATTTGCATGGCTTCCTAGAAGCCTGTATTGGAAAATCTGCTTTGATAGAGCCAAACTTCAAACTGGATTTCTACCCAGGGCCTTACAAGCATGGCCATTCTCTGTAGAGGTGGCCAAAGGTGGTTTTCCCAGAATCATGAACACATAGGATAGTTAAGTTCCAAGCAGATATGGTGTAGACAAAAATAGCCTTTACGTGCTGGGTTTCCTGTTTTCCTCGGAAACCGCTGGGGGAAGAAATGCCATCACCTCCTATTAGTCTTTGCCTCCTCCATCTGTCCCTCCCCCAACCCAGAATTCATGCTTAGTGACCCCAGACTTTACCACCCAGCATCCCCAGTCAATTGGCTTTTGTCAAGACTGAGTGAATGGGATGTTTCACTGGCCTGAAAAGATCTTTCCTGGCCTGCTGGAGTGTGCTACTCACACAGGAATCAGCTCCTCCTTTTCTGTCTTTCATTCTTGTAAGATTAGACATAATCTTACAACCTTGTTATGAACCAGAACTTTGTATTTATGTCTAATTCTCTTATGGATCCAAATTCTTTCATGTGGGGTGGGGCAGGGAGCATTGAACACACTGGAGATGAATGGAAAAGGTGCTTTTTTCTTTTTTATGTGTGTATACATGTGTATAGGTGTGTGTGTGTGTGTGTGTGCACATGTGCACACGTGAGCATGCACACACATGGGTACACATTCTTATGGATACCTTATGGGAGCATGGTGCATGTGTGTGTGCTGGTGCAAATGTGTGGGTGTCAGAGGACAATCTCAGGTATCAGTCCTCAGGAGCCATGCACCGTTTTTTTTTTTGTGTGTGTGTGTGTGTGATAGGGTGTCTTACTGGCCCTGAGCTCACCAAATAGGTTAGGCTGGCTAGCAGTGATCCCCAGGAATCTGCCTGTCACTGTGCTCCAGCTCTAAGGTTGGAAGTGCACACCCACTTCCCAGCTTTTCATGCCAGTGCTCTAACTCGGGTCCTCATGCTGGTGGACAAGCACTTCACGGACTGAGCCTCCTCTCATCCCTCCTTCTTGGCACCTCATTGTTTTGGTGGTCTTCTTATGGACAATCTCTGGCCTCTTTCATCCCTAAGATATGGAAAGGAGTGCTGGGATTCAGCAGGGGGCAGACTGGGTCAAGTTCTGGCATCCTCAGAGAATGGAGGAGACAGAGTCTGACAGACCCCACCCGACCGGGATATCAAACTGGGTTGAAAGGGGTGTTCAGGTTGGAAGTTGATTTGCCTCATCTCACCATTTATGAGTGGTTTTTTTTTCCTTTCTCCCCACAGGATCCACACCCGAGTCCACTGATCACCCTAGAGACCCAGGTGAGTGCCTCCGGTGGTCTTTGCCAATTATCTCTACCTTGAGGTTCCATGACCAATGCTTTGTGGTAGTCTTCTGAGCCCTGTGGGACACAGAAGGGACAGACAGGCATATCACGATGCCCTCCTGCCTCATTTGCATGCGTGGTGTGCACAGACAGATGCAAGCACACTGGCTGATTGTACATATGTGTGTGGTATTCTGCATACATTCACATATACACAGACAGGTCACTGAAGGTATCCCCTACCCGGTGATCCCAAGCAGGTGACTGCAAAGGGAGAGTGGAGACAGGGGAATGTCTGCTCATAGATGGCACTGTTCCACTGCTCTGTTTTTTGGTGGTTGGTACACAACATCACTGGAAATGTTGAGAATCCTGCTAGAGTCACCCAGTGCTGCATGGGAAATTGGGGGTCCTGTTGGGATTATTAGTTTTGTTAACAAAAAGAATTTAAGAACGAACTCAAATAGAAGCTTGGAAACAATTTTATTAGAGTTTATAAGAAAGCTCTCAGGTAGACAAGCTGTGAAGCTTGGCAGCTGCCCTGAGGAGAGAAACAGAGAAGAGAAAGGGCCATGCCTTTTGAGTTAAGCCAGCACAGAGGTCAGCCACATGATGGACAAGCAGCCACACAGTGGGGGAAAGGCTTCAGACCAAGAGTGGAAAAAACCCAGAGTACCAGAGATAGAGTGTTGGGGCTCTGGGTGGTACCTGAAAGAACAAGACAACAGAGAAGAAAGAGGGAAAGACATTGTTCTGAGTCTTGACTGAGAAAGGTGGGCAGACCCAAAGGAACTGCTTGGTGGCTTGTAGGGATTGCACTAAGGGGCAGAAAATCTGGGAAGAAAAAAGTACATTATCTCATTAAAGGGCTAATTATTCCGCCTATTGCTTTAGTGTGGCTTAAGGTGACTCTTAAGGGATCAGACAATAGCATGTCTCTACTGAGAGATAGATTCCAGTCTTTTGGCTGGCAGACAACAGCTTTCCCTTAATGGGCCTTCAATGATACTGTAATAGCAAGACCCAGCTCCCAGGGCAGGAAGTTACACTTATGTCTGCTTGGGTACTGGAACATTCTGAATGACCTAGATAACAGTGGTGTTTCCGTGTGGGGCAGATGACCCATGGGTCCAGAGAAGGAAGATACGGCCTGGCCCTTATGTCTTCTTTGTGGGTCCCTGGCCCAGAGCCACTGAGACCCAGGTAGAATACAATTCTGTCTTCTAGCCTTGTGGCATTGGTGAGGCTGTCTACCCTCCAAGTCATTCCTTTTCCATCTAAAACATGCCACCTAAGCCGGGCGGTGGTGGCGCACGCCTTTAATCCCAGCACTCGGGAGGCAGAGCCAGGCGGATCTCTGTGAGTTCAAGGCCAGCCTGGACTACCAAGTGAGTTCCAGGAAAGGCGCAAAGCTACACAGAGAAACCCTGTCTCGAAAAACCAAAAAAAAAAAAACATGCCACCTGGGAGAGTCCTAGTGAGAGTCACAGGAAGTAATCAGAACACCAGAGGTTCATGGGGCACTTGTGTTCACTCTTATACCAAAGCACCGCAGCCCTTCCTACCGGCATTGAAGGTGATGTGTCTCTGAATGGATGGCCTCCTTAGCTCCATGGCTTGGTTAGACAGGAAAGAGAAAAGGAAGACATGCTGGACCCCCTTTGGAGTCCCAGAGAGAGCACGTTCCAGGTGTCAGACACAGTAAAACGTATTGAACATTTTATGGATGAGTAACAGCCTTTGGGGGGATTTCTGCAGCATGCTGGCAAATACCACCTGCCTTCCCCTGCCTTCCCCAGCCCTAGATCCTGGCTACTCATCAGCATCTCTGCTTGAGTCTTCCCAAGGAGTGAGAGGAGAGTCACAGACCCACCTACCTTCAAGGTGGCCTAACTACTAAGAAGCCCATAAACTACAGGGAAATGGATTCTCAGGGTTTCTCTGTGCTTGTCTGTCCTCCTGTCTCACGGTGCACACCACTATAACTGCCCTAGGGAGGAGCAGGTCCCAGGGATAGCAGAACAGGACAGATGGGAGGTCTCTGAGGAGGAGAAAAATTCTGAGTCCTCTCTTCCACTTTTGCTCATTCTTTGCACAGCCCTTTAGAGTATACCTAGAGACAATCCACTCATTGTCTCTATTAGGGAATCTTACCTGTCAAATTAAGTCACCTAACAGTTTGTTTTCTCCTTAATGAAATTCACTCGACTCTAAAAACCATACTAAGCTAGTGGGTCTCAGTCTGGGCATAATTTTAAGGCTCAGAGGATATTTGCGAAGGTCATGAAGACACTTAGGGTTGTCTTATACAGGGGGACCAGTTCATCCTTTAGTGATGGGGTTGGAGCTCATTAATACATAAGCAGCCAGTACATTACAAGCTTCAGGCCAGTGAGAGGTTCTGTCTTAAAACAAAGCAAAACAACAACAAAAAAAAACAGCACCTGGGGAACAGTATCCAACAGTATCTGAGGTTGACCCATGGCTTCCACATGGGAAATAATTATTTCCCACAAGGGCAAAGAGCCTATCCAAGGTTCCAGTGGGATCGAAGTTTAAAGACATTGCATCATCAGTAGTGTTAGTAAAAGCACAACATTGAAGAGCTATACCTGTGTGTATGCAGGTGTGTATATGTATCTACACAATACATCTCTATACATATATTTGCATCATATTGAGTAAATTCTAAATTACAAAAATAAAGTTATAGCACTCCTTTGGGTATCCTCCAAAACCATTTCTGTGAATTCCCAGATGTTATGTGTCCCACTTTGGAAAGTATCTGCCTCCCTGTCTACCCTGGGTCATAAGATAATTCCCAGGGTAGGTTGTGAGGTGGACTGTTGAGTGATAACTCTCCTCTCCTTGCTCAACCCTTTCCCAGAAAGCAAATTGTTCTGCTCAGGAAAGCTGTGGACAAGCATTCCATGTCCAGAGCACCAGAAGCCAACTTCTCCCCTGCACTTGACCATCCCATGTCCTTTGCTCTGGACTTCATTCAGTCAGCTCTTCAGAACCTCCATGGGAAGAATGGCGGGTGCCCCATAGCTTTGGAAAGCATGTTATGAGAGGGCAGTGCCCCTACGTAGTGGCCACTGTTAAGGTTCTGTGAGCTTCAGGGTGGTGGTGCAAAGCACACTTTTGACATCAATACCACACACCTTTAGGGAAGGCTTCCATTAGTCTTCAGCAATGCCCCCATCAGTCTTACCTGATTCATGGTCTTTGGGGTGTGAGAGGAGCTGTAGGGTATTGTCTTTATGACTTCAGATTTTTCTTGTTAGAGAGACATTGTAGTGGGTAGGAAGGTATTTATCAGTAGGTAAAGGGCTTTCTCCAGAACCCACATTAGGAAAATAAATCTGGACATTGCAGGGCTCCTCTAATTCCAGAAAGGCAGAGACAGGTGGGTCCCTGGGGCTCATTGGGCAGACAACATATACTACTTCATGAACTGGAGGCCACACACACACACATACACACACACACACACACACACACACACACACACACACACACACACACACAGCATTAGAACCCAAATAAAGTGCGAATGTTTTTTTGTGACTTGCCCCAAAGCCATGTATGATTTGGTACTAGGTCTCAGCCCATCACAGAATATACAATGAGATTCTGCCCAACTGCCCTCCATGCAGTAGGTCAGATAAAAAGGCTAAACTAGATTTTCTGGTTAAAAAAAAAAAGTAGTGTCCTAAATGTTACCTATGTGCCATGAGCAAGATGATAGGTGTGGAGGACTTGGAAGAGCTCACCCTGCAGAGGCAGCATTCATATGAATTCTGAGCCTTGGCCAAGTTCCCTCTTCCTCCCATGATGCCCTTTCTGCTCCCAGTGGGATTGCCTGCTGTATCTTAGAGACCAAGATCCCAGGTGTATGTTGGATATCACCATGAGCCTTGTCCTTACATCACACATGTGCAATATGGCTTTGCTGACAGTTCAGGTTGAACAGGATCCCAGGCCACCAATATACCCGCTTACTTCCTGCATCTTACTGTCCCTGATAATAATTACAGGAGTCTTTCACGTGTAGCCTGGTATATCTGCCTTCACATAGTTGTGTGGAGCTGGGGGAGATGTGTGAACTCTGAGGGTCCTCTTATGCCCTCTGCCATCAGCATGGTGGAACTTTGCACCTGCTGGCAGCAATAGGATTCTCTGCTTAATAGTCAGATTAATATCATGAAGGAGTGAGTAATGTCCAAGTCTCTGGCGTCAGATCTCTCAGTAGTACATTGCTCCTGTGGATGTCTCAAGTAAGCTCTGCTTGGCAGTGATGACCACTAATCTGCTCTCTGGCTGGAAGTACCTGAGAACCAGATGACTTAGAAATGAAAAATCTGAAAGGACTTTAAATTTGGTTGGTGGCTTGGAATCATTATTGTCAATCATATTACCACTCACACTATTATTAGATTCAGTTTCCAGATGAGGCACTTAAGGGTCTTAAAAGTCAGATAACTTACCCAAGATCCACAGAAGAGACTTTGCGGTGATTGGGTGTCAGGCTCAGGGTCATAAGACATCAGAATCTTTTCTTGCAGTCTCTGTTTTGTTAGGTTAGAGAATAAAATTGCTGTGATCAGTAGAAAGAGTTACTAATGCTTAGACTAAGCCAGACATACCAGTTCTGGTATTTATAAACCACTGTCTATGGATATACTTAGATGGGGGTGGATGGATGAATATATGGATACATAGATGACAGCCAAACATATTGATATATAGCAGGCAGGTAGATAGTGTCTTACTATTCTATACTGCAAATAGACACTGTGACTAAGGCAACATATGAAACAGAGGTTCTCAACCTTCTTAATGCTGCTACCCATTAATAACAGTTCCTCACGTTGTGGTGACCCCCAACTATATTTTGTTGCTATTTCATAACTGTACTTTTGCTACTGTTATGAACTGTAATGTAATTAGCTGATATATAGGATATCTGAGACTCTAGAGGGGTCACAACCC